ATAATACCATTACAAAAAGTTATAAATGATATAAAGGAAAAAAGACAATAGCCAATTTATATGGAATGGCAAAAACCAAGAATAAGCTTCAAAATATTACACTAAGAAAAATAGAGGAGTAGCAATCCCAAATATAGAATTATATTCCCAAACACTAGGTCTGGTATAGATAGTGGACTGGAGTAAACACTCAAGACAAAGAATAGTAAAATTAGAATCAGCAGACCTTGATGAAGGTTTACACAATTAGTTATGGATTAAGACATTAGCTAAAAAGATCATAACACTAGAAAGAAGTCATATAATCAGAGTTGGACTTTTGAGAATAAGGTTTACACGTCAGAATGTATTGAGCCCCTCAGATTCTCTGCTTATGTTCCCCATAGAAATTTTCCATGGTAAGAACACGAGAAATAAGAATGACATTTTAACATATGGCATGATGATAAATACTCAGGGGAAAAATCAAGTCTTGACAAGATATCAAAGAAGAAGGTGTAATAATTCAATGGCTGCTATATTATCAATTAGTCTCAAGATTAAAGGAGCTCATGAGCATTGAAGGTAGAGTTGTAAGAAATGTGATTGAATTCGAACAGCTTATTATAAAACAAAATGAGTATTTACTCTGATGGATATATAAGATTTTACTCCAGCTAGAAACAGAAGATGAACAAGTGAAAAAATGTATTAATTAATTAATTGTGGAAGCAAAACTTTAAAGAACAGATATCTATGCAAGAATGGGAACGACTATAGGAAAAAGATATCAAATTTTAAGTCAGCCAGACATTAAGAGAAAACTGGTACAAAATGTTTTTTAAATGGTATATAACTCCAAAGGATATTGAGAAAGCAGATAAAAACTACAAAGAAAAATGCTGGAAATGTCAAGACATAGATGGAACCTTCTTTCATATGTGGTGGACTTGTAAAAAAGCAAAAAGTTATTGGAAAGAAATACACTGAAAAATGCAGAACATATTAAAGTTTAAATTCCCAGTGGAAGCCAAGAGCATGCTATTAGATGATCTGCCTAACAAATTACCAAAATTTTTAGAAGAGATATTGAAATACATGTTGACTGCAGCTATATCTATTTACTATTTATGCAGTAAAACGGAAACTAGATGTCTGTCCACATTTAGAAGAATGGGAAAATAAACTTGCTGAATATGCAGTAATGGCAAAATTAACAACCTGCTTGAGAAATAGGTCTATTATGAAATTTGAGGAGATATGGGGTGTGTATTATGTGTATTATGTGTCCTATGCTAGCAGGAGACAAATTTAGAATGAGAAGCAGTCTAAAATACTATATACAAATGTATGGTGATTAAAACCTGTCTTAAATGTAATATCTTGAATACAAATGGGTTCTTGATATGAAATATATAATAGACCTTCCTTTGCATCTTGATATATCGTTTAGTTGTTAAAGGTAGTGACAAAAACATGTAATATTGAATATGTAGTAATGATAAAACTAATGATGTAGTCAAAATAGATTAGTTATGAAATCTGAAACCTAAATGTAAGAAGTATTATATTTTATAGATAATACCTTAAAATTATAATGAAGGTGATATAAGGGAAAATATCTACTGTCTTATACATTTTTTACTACATGATTGTCCCTGACAGATGCAGTTATGTTGTATAACCCTTTTTTCCCCTTTCCCTTTTCTTTTCTGTATCCCACTATCTTTCTAAATTAAAAAAAAGTATACCCCATATATAAGCATGTAGTTATTTCTCGGTTCATATACAGATATGTAAGAACAGTGCAAATATTAAATCATTATTTACTCTTAATTCAAATACTTCCTCTCTATAAATACATTTTAACTCCTATGCCCACTGTACAGTCTTCAGAATATCCATGCACATTCAATTCCCCCCCCCCCTGAAAGAGAATTCAGGTGACTGTTTATCACCAAAATTACCAAGAACATGCACAAGATTGGATACCACTAGATGTGTTGTTTTGAGGGCTTTAATACAATCATGGAAACACATCTATGGAATGGAGAGGCTGCCAGTTGATGAGGTGGACGGTTAACTTGGTCAGCCTGTTATCATGCTTAACAAACAGAAGCAAAAAGCCAAAGCTATTTTAGAATTGTATTTGTATATTTCTCAAATTCAAGAAAATATTATCTAAAATTCAGTCCAATGTATATTGTGAAGGCTGAAACTATTGGATAGGTTTCAAAATTTATGGCCAGCCAGAAGTGGGGGAAAATTCAAGAAACCAAAATAAACAAACAAACAAAAAACCCAACAATCCTGGATACAAAAAGATACTGTTGAGGTTGGATTGTGGTTAATACAAAATGTTGAGCTGTTAGGGTAGGCTAGCTGACATTTGAGAAAGTACAAACACTCCAGAGTTCTCCATTGTGGCTGATTTAGCTTAGACCAGTGTGGAGAATACATGGCTGTATGTTTCTTGTTCAACAGTGGAAAAAATAAACAGTGCCAAAAGTTAATACCCAATAACATACATTTTAACTGAAGTATGTTTTTACAGGTTAACATATATGAGGCAATTTAGTACCATGTCATGTATGAGAAATCAGATATTTTTTGACAATGGATAGTGCAAGACTTAAAGACCCAGGATAACTTCATTTTCAGAGGCTGAAGGAACTAAAGGGGATATCCTTACAAAACACACAGTATTCCAGCCCAGGCTTCTCCTCTGCTAGGGCAAATTCAGACACGAAATTAGCTTTAAATTTGTGAGTATAACTTGTTACATAAAATCATCATCTGGATGTGAACAGACAACATTTCTTCTTTAGCGTTAATTTTGGACTTCTGTGTAGAAACCTACCCGATTAACACAAAGCATCACTAGCAAGCAATTAGCCACAAATCTTAGTGATCTGACTGGATCTATGAAGACTCAAGAGTAGAGGACACAGTAACACAATACAAAAGTGGGCCACCCTGCTCTCCTTCTCTGAGTGCTAAAGTTTAAAGAGGTGTAAGAATTTAGTAATCCCTGATAAATGGGCATCAGAATAAGCCCTCCAAGGGAAGTATGGCCCAAGTTCTTTCATAGCATGGCTAGCTGGAGATGATGTCAATTACCTGATGCTGCAGTCTCCCCCGCCCCCGCCCCCCCACATCACCATGCACAGATCAAGCATCAGGGACAACAATCATTTCACAGATTTATGCTGAATCTCTATGCACGGCCTCAGCATCTGTCAGCCTGTCAAAAGACATCTACAGCCACACTCTGCTCATGTTGAGACACCTGTCCTTTCCCTTCTCCGTTTGCATGGTTCTAAACTATAATCAGCACACCACTGAAAGAAAGAACACCTCCCTCCAGCCAGATTGTTGCAGCACTTGTTGCACTATGTGGGTTTCTTAGTACAACATCAATAAATGGCCACTTGTAGAGGAACCACCTTTGTGAAAGGAAACAACAGAGTTTGGGGCTCCCCTGCCCCCCTTTTCTTCCAGATATTATAGGCTTGCAGTGCAATCCTAAATCGTGACACCTTTCTAAGCCCATTGACATCAATGGTTTTAGAACTCCGGTTAGGATTGCACTGTTGCTATAGTCCAAGAAGGAAAACTATAATATAGAGGAGAATAAGATGGAACAAAGCAGAAATATAAACTCAGAAAGAAAGAAAAAATTAGAAGAAATCCCTTTGTAAGGATAGTATGTATTGTTATGAACATTAAGAAGAAAAAGCATTCATTATAAGTGTTCTAGCAATTTTTCCATTCATATGGAAATATTGTGAAAGGGCAATTAAGGTGACTGACAATACAGGATAATTAATTTTGTTCAGATTGGACAGTTGGAAAAACACAAAATGTCTCTTTCATTTCATATTCTTGAATTCTGTATAAATATGAACTGTACTACGGAGTACAGGTTTATAAGGATGCCCTTTGTGTTATAATGGTGCTATGAACACAGATGGGTGTGTGTGTTTCTAAGTACCATTGAAGCAAATTCTTACTTTGAAGTGCCACCCATGGAAATCTATGCAGAAAGGTGGGCTCACTAATCTTCATCTGCATGCCTGTCTGCATCTCATTGTTCATTACTTTCCTACGGCTGCATCATTTCATGTTACCACTGATCTGCCCTGGCATGTTGCACCAGGTGGCACCAGGAGGATTCATTAAAATAGAACACTGGCATTTGCAGATGGCCAGGCAAATGAATTCTCAGGAAAACATATAGGGAAATAGCTTTTAGATTCAAACACACTGTGACCTACTTTTTCTGCTTAATGGTTGGACAAAACCAATCGTAATCTTTGACAAAATAATATTGTTTGTTGCAGGATATGCCAAGAGAAGGAGGTGCATATCTGTGAATGCTACTGACTGAAGAAATAGTACCAGCCAAAGACCTGGTCCAGTAGCTTTCAGTGCTGAGTGCTTAATAGCAAACTATGTTTGACATATATGTTCCAAAATCAAACTAATGGATGGAAAAAATGGAAGACTATGGTATATATACACTAGACACTTCAACTGGTTTAAATGTCATCCCCTCTCCCTGTGGAACCACAATTCTGTGAAGGGTGCTAGGGATGTCTAACAAAATGCTTAGGACCCTCATCAAACTGCTATTCCCAGAATTCCTTGAGGGATAACATAATAGTTAAACTGGTTAGAAAATCGGTATGTGTTTGTTGTGTAGATTTACCTTATGTCTTCCATGTACCATGTAACATACCACAAATACTAAAGACATTCCCTCACAATTCAAATAATACATTGGTTGCTTTCAATGTGATTTGTTCATGCTAAAAAGTAAAAGGAATAGCTTAGCAGAGTTATGGTTATGTTTATTTGCAAATATTGATGTTATTTTCCCAAATTAACAATTTAATAGCATTAGCAGATTTTTTTTTAACATTATACTTTCCTGTGATATTTGAGTCCTCTATCCCGAGCCATTTATTGAGAGTGTTTAAAATGATTTTTTAAGACATCACCTGATCAAAAGTTGATACCTGACTTTGGAGTATGAGAATCATAAAGTTGCTTACGGTCTATCTGGTCTGCAAACACTTCCCCATAGATCATCCAGTATGGCATGTAAAAAATGTTCTTTGCCAATTTCCATGAAGGCTCTTCATTGGGAAAAAGAATTGCCTGCCTTGCAACACCAAAGCTCATCAGAATCACCAGCATAATAATGACAAAATACATCATGTCTATCATCTGAAAGTGGAAAAAAGAGAAATATTTTGGCTCTTTTATCCTGCGAAGTTAATGAAAATGTTTGTAAAGATTATCCAGACAGCCTGGTCATAGTGAGTTGCTATTGCTGCAGTAATGTAAACAAGTAACTTGGCTTGCTGTGGCTATTTTCTCTCAAACACCTATTGCACACTTGAGACTGGTCCAGGTTTGCTGTTGACCTTTCCATGATCCAAATAGCTCTTCTGACATCTTGCTGTATTACTGTTGGGCAGTCTCTTATTCTTGCAATCCCTTTCATAAGAATGCACTTTATTTATTTACATTGCTTACAGTCCTCCTTTCTTACTGAGACTCAATAGAAGTAACTATTTTGCAGAATTCTACATAGGTTACCATATGCCCTTTATCTCACAATTAACATTATGTATAGCCTAAGAGAGCAGTGGAAATTGCAAGCTGCATAGGGTTGCCAGGTCTGGGTTGGAAAATACCTGGAGACTTTGGCGGTGGATCCAGGAGAGGACGGGGGTTGGGGAGGGGAGGGGCCTCAGCATAGTACAATGCTATACAGTCCACCCTTCAAAGCAGCCATTTTCTCCAGGGAGCTGATCTCTGTCAGCTGAAGATGAGCTGTAAAAGCGGGAGATCCCCAGGCCCCACCTGGAGGCTGGCAACCCTAAAGCTGCATCAAATACTTCTTCCAAGGAATGCTTATGGACAGTTAATGCCCCCCTCTATTACTTTTTTAATGAATTCAAAGGTTGAAATTATTTTGGACAAAAGAACAGGAAATCTACTGGTTTGATTTATTCTGACCTATCTTACATTTAGAGACATTCTACCAAATGAACCAGCCACTTTTGATTTCCGTACTTGTACTGAGGTTAGTGTCAAGTGTGGTTCTAAATTCAGTATCCAAAGAAAAGAACAACATGGTCTTTTCACATAAAAATATACAAGGCCAGTGATGACTTACCCATGTGAAGAAGCCATCTTATCACTAATACCACAGATTTTTATTCATATTATACCAACAGCCAGAGTGTTGTTTTTTTAATGGAAACAGTTCATACATTCAGCTATGAGTTATTAGCTGGAGAGAGGCTGTGGATCTGTTGTAGAGCACATACTTTGCTGGCATCTCCAGTTAAAGGATGGCAGATGTTTGGAAAGATCTTTCTTTGTTCAGGACACCGGAATGCTGCTGCCACTCAAGGAATCAGTCGGAGAAGACAATACTAAACTAGATGAGCCAGTGGACTGACTTCATTATAAGGTAGCTTTGTAAATTTGGGTGTTGTTATGTGAAATTAAGAAGTGTACACGCATGTTGCTGTATATTTTAAGATGAAGCCCCCAAATTACTTATTACTTTGAAGCAATTCTGATGGGAATTCATCACTCTTTCTCCAAAGCAGTTGGAAGATTCAAATACAATAGTCTGTTCACATGATATATTTACACCAACTTATGGGCTCATGTAACATGCCATTTTTTAATCAGTGGAAGACAGATGTAGATTTGCTTCATTTACAGTGCGATCCTATGCAGAGTTACACCTTTCTAAGCCCACTGTCTTCAGTGGACTTAAATGGGTATAACTGCATAGGATTGTACTGTTATTAATTTTTACTTCTCACCCCATTCCAAAGCTAAGGAAGGGCAACAAGCTAAAGTATAAAACCCCTTAAGATGTTGCCAGTTCAGTGGAGCAACCTTCTCATCAGGGCTGCTTCAATCACCTTCCACCTATTCTCATTTCTCAAAGTCAAGGGTCCTAAATCTTGTTGAAACTGTGGGCAGTTTTGGAATTTTAGAAATAGGTAGCCAGCCCCACAGCAAAATGACTGCCATGTGCGTGGGGGTACCAATCGCAAAATGGCGGTCTATGGGCTTAGACCAATCAGAAAAAGTAGGGAGTTTCCACAGAATGTTAGCAGGTGCCAAGCCAATCATCCTCCTGTGATGGAATGAAGCAGTTGTTTCAAAATGGGTCTTCTCCCTGCAGACATAAAGTTGATGCCTTCTGGGCACCTCCTACTACACCAAAGTGGAGGAAAGCCAGGACTCACACTCTGCTTTGAGAGAGAGAGAGATGTTCTTGGGGGAAAAGCAAGTGGGCAACAAGAAACCAATCAGTGGGCTCAGTGGGCACAATGTTAGTAACCACTCTTCTGAGTGTCATTTTCTTCAAGCCTTTATTGGGCTTTAATGTTTCTCAAAAATGTATTCAAACACCATCTGGGCTTTTAAGAGATCTGGGTACAGTGTAACAAAAAAGTAGTAATATATATATAGTCTATAGTTTTTATCCTGAAGTGGGAGGGAAGGGAAAATAATAATAATGATGATGATGATGATGATGATTAAAACCCCCAAAACATGGCAGGGGAGCAGTACAAAAGATTTGCTGTTGAAAACATCTCTCTCTGCAGATGCTTGAGGTACCCCTTTCCCATCTTGCTAAAAGAAAGTGAAGACAGTGTGGAGGAAGATGTGGGAAATGCTCATGTCTTCTTCTGGTGGCCAACGGTGAGAATTTTGCACTGCCAAGAGGCAGGTTTACTGTTTTAATCTCTGAGGTTGCATGAAGTGAGCAACACCTATTGCTTCAGTGTTAACATGCAAGACAAACAGGAAGGATGGGACACTTTTCTTACCATTTTCCCAATCATCATTACATATGGCCCCAAATACTTGTTCACCCCGAAGATGTCTAGCAATCGGATATACCAGTAAATGATGTTGACACAGTATATCACACGGCCATCACTCCTGAGTGGCAGATCCTGGAGGCGAAGTACCATACCCACAGAGAACAGGAGAATGGCAATGAGATCGGTAACGTTCCAATACTCTTGAAGCCACACTTTCACCTTCTGCAGCAGCTTCCCAGGTTCTGACATTAATATCTAGAGAACATGAAAGAGGATGCAGGGATAGACTTGCTACTTTACTTTAACCCCCAAAGGGGGAAACATGGCAGGTATTTATATACTACATAAGCTAAAACCAAATTTAAGAAACTGCTGGCGTGATTCAGCATTTACACATGGGAAGCACAACTGCATAGCTACACCTTGGCCTCCAAAATATTTCAGCATATGAGGGGCACCCATTAAAGCCCATAGAGGTCTGCTTCTCAACCTGGGGCAGAATAGGAAGGGCCAGTAAGAGCGGTAGTCTTTTGGATTCTAGGGAAACACATTCAGCTGGGCCCTTCCTGTCCCCCCTCCCCCCCAGCCTATGAGATGCTTCATTGCTTGTTCATAATTGACATGAGGGTTGATATGTTCTTTTTACTTGTCCCTCAGAAAGCATACTCTCTGGGGCTTTCTTGCAACCTTGCTCTGTCTAAAGTAATGCTCCAGCTGCTGGAGCCAGCTACAATGTGACGTGGTCATAACATAGTTCTTTATTTCTATTCCACTAAGGGGCTCTGTGCATATATTGTCCATGCAAATTGTATCAAGGCAGACACAAGCTACTGTTGACAACCTGTAGTATACTTGTCTGTTCTTGGAATTTACAGTGTACTTGGGTATTTCATACTACACTCTTTGCGTGACTTTTGCAAGGTTGGACAGTGTTATAATACTCTTACATACATACATAAACCTTTATTGGCATAACACAGCAACAAGAAGGGCAGTGAAACAATTAGAAAAATAAATAAACAAATTAATAATAATACTCTACAATTAATTCTGATTGCTTTCTGATCTAGCCAAGTGACCTTTCCCCCTACTAAATGCATAAGGTGTTTTAAAAAGTGGGTCAGACTTTAGTTTTGCATTTCTTTTTAGAGACTGATTTGGTGCTTAAACATTGCTATTAACATCTGTACTCTGAAACTGGAAAATATATTATTGTATTAATTAAGCCTCTCTTCTGTTTGTAGATCACTCTGGGGACAGACTGTGATTAGCATTAATCTGGCCTGGAACGTTTTGGAGGATGTTTGACTGGAACCACATTATAGATCTTCATCTGGATTCTAAGAAGACAAACTAGCCTGAAGAAATAACTGCAGTATAAATTTTGGAGTCATTTTCTGTGAATACTCTAGCCTATACTGATTTTTTATAGTTCAACAAACAATTTATCAAGAATTATTTATGAGTGGAAATAAAATAAAGACACAACAACTTAGCTGAAAAGACTTCTCTGGAAAATGTAAACATCCATATTACTAGACATCCTTTCAGTTAGATAACTTTCTTCAAAACCTATATTATCAATGACAAAGAGCCCCCTTGTGGTTGTTGTGAATATTGTTCTCCTTACTTTTCATTACTGTATACATACAGCTCACTTTTATATATTCCTATATCCCTATATTATGAGCAAACTATTTCCCTCCTAAGATCATACTTGGTTCATTCTCAGGTTTGGGTGATGTATTCCTCCTACACCTCCCTCTCCTTTTTGTACATGAAGCAGAGATTGAAAAGTTCCAAGTTCAGGAAGCCTTTGATTGAATTAGCAAGTTTAACAAATTGGGGTTGATTTCATAACTGTAAATTGCAGTTTAATGGTTTGTGAGCATGAAACAAACTTCAGTTTGTCAAAGTGCATGAATTTAGATGCCAAATCAAGCTAACATTAGATAAAAACCTGCCATTATAGCAACCCAGCAGTTTTAATACTTGGATGTGGAAAATCCAAATGATATTTTAATTTGGGAAGCGGGGGAATATCACTTTTAAAAACCAGGTCATGAATATACAGTATTAAAATTTTACTCTTGCATTATTTTAAAAAAAGAAAAATACATTTTTTGATAAATTTAAAACAACATATAAATATTTTGGGGAAAAGAGAACATGAGAAAGCATTTCTATTTTCATGCCTTTCACAATAATATTACCTCTCTCATCTTCTCTATCCCCATTGTAAAAATATATGAGATCACTATCCACTCCTGTGTGGAAGGCCAGCGATCCATCTTCACCAACACAATATAGTTGAACAGCATCAGGTACCCAATGTATGCCATCTGCAAAGAAATAAACTTAGTTTTTCTGCTGGTCATATCAGTTTTCCCAAACCTAGTCAAATCATTTGCATTAAAAGATCATATTTGAGCAAGAAGGTTAACATTCTGGGCCATCAGTTCCTTGAGAGTTCTGATGCATCCTGCTAAAGATGTGCACAGTTCCTTGAGGGGTGGGAGTTCTGATGCATCCTGCTAAAGATGTGTACTCAGATATATCTGGTCCAAATACATAACTGGAAAAAAACTCTCATTAGTATTTTTCAGGTATATTGGGGTATCCAAAGGGATATTTGAGATTCTCAGAATACTGATGATCAGCTCCAGAATATTTCCAGATATTCCATTTGATAGGTTTCCAGTCAAATGGGAGGGAGGGTGAGGGAGGCAGAGGGAGGCAGCTCTCCCAGCCAATGGGATCAAACATTAGGGGAGCACTAGAACTCTCTGCCCAATCACGCTAATTCTCTCACAGCCCTCCATGGGTCTCTGAGCATGGGCAAAGAGGGTAAACAGCAGGCCTGGCTGCAGCTCCCACATCCAGTTTCAGGGCTGGATGTTTTGGAGTGCTGCATGCTTCTGCTGCTCTGTCCTGTCTGAGCCTTGGGTTAATTCTGCTGTCTGCAGCTGCCTTCCTGTCTTCTTGTTCATGTCCAGGACTGGTTTGCTCACAGTGTACTTTGCTTTTAAAACATTATTTAAAAATATATTTTTTTGTTTTGTTTTTGCCTGTAGGACTGTATTTGGAGGGAGGAACTTTTGTTTTCCTTCTGGTTCTTTTAAAAATAGAATTTCCCTTGGTTTAGTTTTGCACTTCTTAAAAGGGTTTTAAAAGCTTGTGCTTTTGTGCCTGCTCGAAACCTCTCACCAAGCAGAGCCAGTTTGGTGTAGTGGTTAAGTGCGTGGACTCTAATCTGGGAGAACCGGGTTTGATTCCCCACTCCTCCACTTGCACCTGGCTGGACGACCTTGGGCAAGCCGTAGTTCTGATAAGAGCTGTTCTTGAAAAAGAGCAGTTTCTGTCAAGAGCTCTCTCAGCCCCACCTACCTCACAAGGTGTCTGTTGTGGGGAGGGGAAGGGAAAGGAGTTTGTAAGCCCCTCTGAGACACCTTTGGGTAGTGAAGGGCGGGGTATAAATCCAATCTCCTCGTCTTCTTCTCCTTGTTGTTGGTGACCCTGGGTGACCCATACATCAAAGGCAGCCTTGTCAAGTATGTTGTCCAGCTCATTTGCTGGAGAGATGAGCTCTCTCAGTGGGTGCGGCCAAGAGGGGCATGCTGCTTCCAGGAAAATATGAGGAGGGGGAAACAGATCTGCTTATCTCCCCACTCCCACCTTTCTGAGCAGGGTTCTCCCTCATAGCCACTCCTGGGATAGCCCTGATGATGGAGGCCATCAAGGAGATAGTTGGTGCCAGTGGGAACATGAGGCACACAAGCCAGGCTTCTGCAAATGCAATGGTAAGGGATGATCTCTCTGAGCCCTATGAGTCATCTACCACTGATCCATTGAGCTACTGGGCCATGAATGAGATGGTCTGGCCAGACCTTTCTTTTGTGGCTCAGAAGCTCCTCCCATGCCCTCCAATGAGCATGCAGAGCAATGCTCCCTCTAAGCTACTGAGTCTTGTGAACAAAAATTCTACTCTGTGGGCTACTGGCATTCAAGTTGCGAGCAAGCAATTTGGCTACTGCATAAATTAGTTTGCTCTGGAACCACTCTTTCTGAGCTAAGACAAACAATGTGTGAGCTGGAGGTTAAAAAAATGTGAGCTAGCTCACACTAACTCAGCTTAGAGGGAACACTGATGCAGAGTGAGCATATTTTTTCCCCAGAGGGGCGTCATTTTCAGCTTGTACCTCTCATCTCTCTCCTGTGGAGAACTGAGCAATCGGTCTTCGTGAAGATCAATTTGTTGCTTTTGAACTACCCAATCCTGGACTTTGTGAGTGAGTGAAGTGAGCATGTGTCTTATCCTCTCAGTCTGTATTGGGGAGTTCAGGAAAAATTCTCTTCCCAAAACTTAAAACTCAGTAGTAAAGAGAAATGCTAGGGAGATTATCCAATTTAATTGATCCTATATAAAAGCCACGTTACAAATTGGGTTCTTAATTTTTTTTTTTTACAAACCAACCCTCAACTCAATCCTTGTTTCTGTGCAACACGTAGGGTTGTTGTTGGGGTTTAGCACCTTTCAGCCCAGTTCTATGCAGAAAATGAATATGGTGCCAAAATGTTCCTGCCAGGGTCATAAAGAATAAAACCCACAAATATAATTTGAACAAGAGATATTAGGAAAATACACGAGTATTTCAATTAAAACAAGCAGATTCCACAAAAGCACCTAAAATGAAACTCCTGCATGCTGTATTAATGCTGTTTCTTCTTTAGAGGGGTGGGAGGGAACAGGAGCGCCAGTAATGAAGGGCAGCTGCAGTTCTTGAGGCTCCTCCTGTGAGGCAGTGATGGTATAGGCTGCAGAATGCAGAAAGAGGAGAACATGGGTACCCAAAAACCTCTTCCTCCTGCTTTCTGAGGCCTTCTTTGTGTGTGTGTGTGTCTTGCCAGGTGTTGCTGGCTGCTTTGGTACTGGCTTGTCAGGTTCGTTTATCTTAGATTCTCTGGTCTGACATTTGTTGTGTTGGGCTTGGTACTGCTTGGCTTCTGTGGTTTGACATTGGTTCTGTTGGGCTTGCAATAGTGTCCCTTGCTTAAGTTGGTGTGGCTTGTGTTTGCTGGTTTGACATTGGTTGTGGTGGGCTTGCTATACTGGCTTGTTGTTCTGCTGGTATTTGCTGGTTTGACATTGGTTCTGTTGGGCTTGTTGGTTCTGTTTGCATCTGGAGGCTTTTGGCAGTGGTTTCTCTTGTGTGTTTGGCTGTTGGCTTCTTTGCCCTGGAGAAAGCATGGAGCCCAGGAAATAATGAAGGAAAGCAGAATGGTTGGGGGCACTTCATTCAGGGGCTCATGGAATTGTATCCTATGATTTAATTTGGTTGAAACTTGGGGATTCCTTACTGGACATGTAGGAATAGCTCTTTTGCAGTTTCAGTGTCATTTTCTTGCAATACAATAGCTCCCCAGAAAGTATCCTCCCATAGGCAATAATGGAACCCCACTTACTGGACATGTAGGAATAGCTCTCTTGCAGTTTCAGTGTCATTTTCTTGCAATACAATCACTCTAGCTCCCCAGAAAGAATCCTCCCATAGGCAATAATGGAACCCCAAAATTTTAGAATCCCCCCAAAATGGTATTAGGGATCTGCACAATACAGAATACCAGTATGGAAACCATTTCCAAAATCCAAATTATAAAAATAACATCCCCTCCTTAAGTGCACATCCCTCCATTCCACAATCCATTCCAATGGAGGAAGCTCTTTTTCTGTGCTGGGGATCATGTACACCTGCAGTCCACTGAAGTGATAGTTAACAGGTAATTTGACTCGGAGGTCTGTCAGAGTGCTTATGGAGTGCAAATATCGGAGCTGATTTTTCACTAAGAGTTACAAACAGGGAAGCCAGTTTGTTGAGCTACCCTTTTATTCCCTCCCATTATGTTGGCAGGAACTGGAGTAAACATCCCACTAGTTCCTAGTTACTACCCAGTAACATACAGAGGGGCTCAAATTCTTCTGCAAACCACCTACAATCATCAACTTGTGCATAGTTAGACATTCAAACACTGCATGGCCTTATCAATGTAAACATATGAATGAAGAGGCATATGCAAAGTTTTGCCACTAAACAAATGACAAAATAATAGTTCCCCCTTACAGTGTAGAACCAAAATTTAACAATTGGTGCATTGTAGAATTCATAGATCTTCCGTCCAAAGGGGATCAATCTATGCCTGCTGTGAACTTCCTCTTCCTCCTTCTTTCGTGAGGACTCTCCATTGCCACGTCCCAGCATTGCCTAAAGTGAAAAAGAATAGATGCTGGTATAGTTGATTAACTGCAAATTGCCATTTCAGTTTAACTGGACCCAGCAAAGACAAATATGGAATCAATGAGCTGGAAGCCTTATAAGCTATCCAGTGCGACCCCCTGGTCAACTTAGGAAACATAGAGCTTCTCTGACAGCTGCAAATGGAAGACTGCAGCAAGGGAAAGCCCCCCCCCCCCACAA